TATTACTTAACTCTATAAAACTTTGTAATGCGTATTAATAAAAAATTATAGCCAAGTAAAAAAACTTATTTTATAAAACCAATAAAGAGTGTTTCACAGCTATATAAGTTTATTCAATAAAACAATAATAATAATTAAAATAATAACAGCAGCAGTAACAGTTAATAGAAATCATGAATGACTATTAATAAATAGTATTTTAAATTAATGAAATAAATAAAACCGTAAAAAAAATATTTATAGATTTTTATTTATTGTAACAGCATTGTGATTAAGAGATTTTCGACTTTTAACTTTTAACCTAATGTTACCTTATCGTACGTGACACTTAAGCATGTGTGGTTTATATTTTCCTTTTTCACACAAAGTCGAAGGCCTTAAACATACGTTTCATCGGTTAACCAAAAATAATCTCGCAATAAATTAGCAAAATTAAATTTATTCTATAGGTATTTATAGTTGTTAGTTACAAAAAAATATTTTTACAGATTAATTGGCTCATGGCGAAAATACGAAGTCGAGTTAATTCAGAAAATCATAATTAGTTGTTTGATTGACGACCTACTTCAAAAAGAGTTAATTAATTTTCTTGGGACGTTGAGCCTTTGCTCGATTGCGTTAGATTAACTAAACTAAATATACTAGGACTTGCACTTATACTGTCGAATCAGTTGAAATAGTGATTTTATCTATGCCAAATGTTAATTCTAAGAAATAATATAACAAACATATTCAGTTGTATTTATTTTATGACAAGACCTTAGCTATTGTTACAATTGTAATATTTACAGGAAAAAGAAAACCAATACATTTTATATTCGTTAACTACTCGATGAACACTTTTATAAATTGTTCTACAGGCCTTATTAGGTATACATAAAAAGGTCAAAACACTATTTTTTTTATTTTAAATAATTTTCTATAAGAATCCGAGTGGTATGTGAGAAAAAAGAAACGAGTTGTAAATCCACGTATAACAGTCACTTTTTCACACTCTCTATTGAAAGTCATATGATTAAAAAAAACCAATGAACCCTTAATCGAATTTTGAGCAGCTAACGAGGATTTTCAACAAATTATACACGTTCAATGGTCGGTAATATATACATCTCTCCACTCAGAGCGAGACAAACGTAAATACGCGAGCGCACACGTTATACGCACAAATTCATTTCGATCGAATTTTCGATGGCGTGGAGCTAAAATAGTCGGCATCCAGCTCTATATATTCTGCTTTTCTCTGTCAATATTTGCGCAGTTTATTTCTCAGAATTCGTAAAAAGCTTCTCGTATTTTTTTTTTTTTGCAATTTAAAACGTTCACGTACCAATACTGCGAATCAGCTTCTGTAAACTGAAGTGCTCGGAAGTGGTACCATTTTTCCACATGTGTAATTTTTCCGTTGTTGATTTGTTTTTTAAAATACGTAAATTTTTCGTTGCAGTCAACATAAATTTTATGTGCTACTCATATTTATTCCGAAAGATTTTTAATGAATCATCTTTCAAAAATTTTACAGTCTTTCGCAAAATTAAAGCAGATTTAAAATGACCTAGAATTTTCTTGTATACAAAATATTAGTTTTAGTTGGAT